CATAAACACTTTATTTTATCAAGTCATTAACAAAAGTATGCAAACATATAAAAATTATTGAGAGCTAAGTGTGACGATAGTTTTGGTATGGAAGAAGTGATTTTTATGTACACATGATTTAAACAATATAGAGAATATCATCTCATTTTTTTATAATTTTATAAATTAGTGATATCAAAATAAAAAATTCAAATCTACAAATATATACAAATTAAAATTTATTTTTCATTTGTTCTTTCAAAAGCCGTTTGTGTTAGTAACATCATTGATTATAATATCAAATTAAGTACTTCCTCCGCCCGAAAACATCTTCCCTTATTGACATTTTGAGGATTTAAGAGAGAGATATTTTTGTATTGACTTTTCAAAAGTATCCTTAATGTGATGGGTAAAAGTAAGATGTAAAGTGTAGATTATTAGTAAAAACTAGAAATGTATGATGTTATAGGTATGATATAAAAAAGTAAGGAGTAAAAGTAGTTTTTTAATAAATAAGGAAACATCTTTTGAGGACAACAAAAAAATGAAAGGAGAAGATTTTTTGGGGACGGATGGAGTAGATGTTATTCTGTGCTTATAGGCAGATCACAACTATTTATAAATAATTTTTAAATTAAAATTCATCAGGTGACATATTCTTCTGTATTTATATATTGACTTATAATTTACTAATATATCATAAGAAAGCTACTTTTATATAAATTCAATTAGAATGGATGGAGTATTTAAGAGTAACCAAACTCTGTAGAGGAAGCTGAAAGTAGTATATCAAAAGAATTTCTTTTAGTTCATAGGTATACTTTTGAAAAATTTTACTCAGTATTTTTTCGGGTTAGTTAATTGCATCTATTGGTTACTCTTTAGATTAGTATTTGCAATTTTTTCACGGAGTATTAAAAGAATCAATTCCTAAATGTTTTCTCATAAAAAAAGAGTGCATATTATGGGGTCACAACAAAAATTATATTCAAAAGAGTAAATTTCATAAATTGTTCATAATTATAAGTGGATTTTATATTTAATCTATATTTCTAAGATATTAAATAAATAATTCTCAATCTTGGAATTTTTTTTCACAATTAGTCAAATTCGACCTAAAAGACTACTTATAAATAGTTTTCAAAAATAGAAAACTATTTATCTAATACTACCTCCGTCCCGGAGTATTTGTTCAGTTTTGTCTTTTTTTAGGCAACTATTTCAACCTTTGACCTATAATTAAATAAAATATATATTTTATATAAATAATTAAATAAATGGTATGTTGCATTCTAAGAATTGTGGATTGTAGTGATTTAAAATTATAGATTCACGATGAACCTCAAATAATTTTTAAATTTTATTCTGCAACGATTTTTTTCCGTGCAACGCACGGGTATGAATCTAGTTAAATAAAAATGATAATATTTTTTAGTATGAAAAATTATTTTGATAGATTTATTTTGTTGAGAACTATTAAAATTTTAATTTATTATATTAATATGCAACATAAATTAAGAGTAATCGATGTTTAAAGTTTGTCAAGTTTGATTCGAAAAAGTCAGACTAGACAAATATATTGGGACAAATGAAGTTTATTTTAATTTGAGATATTTGTGATCAGAGAAAAAAAGCACATCAGTAGATATGGACTATTTTCAGTATCAATTCTTTTCCAATTTAATTTCAAGCAATCCTTAATTACATAATGAGGTACTCACTCTCAAATCCCATGTAACAATCGGAAGGAAGTTCATATTTCTTTCTCACCAGCTTTGCCAAAACCCCAAAAAAGATGGAAATTTTCAACTGTGCAGCTTAACCATCAACCAACCACCAGCTCCTCATGTCTCTTGTTTCACGGTATGGATGTAGCAGTCCAATGACAGAAGGTTCTGCCAAATCCCATTCAGAAAAAAAAAATTGTTTGCACCTTACAAGTTTTCAGAGCAGCGGAGGCAATGACGATTTAAAATCCGTGCGGCGAGGCTATCAGGCTCGGGAACAGTAGCTGAGGTAATGCTATCCCACAAGTGAAATGTGAGAGACTCGTGAAGGATTTTTTCAAAGAGAGCATCTTGTTCCGACCTTTCGGTATCTGTAACCGGTGCAGTGAAGTATCTGACAGACATGGCAGTAGTGGACATAAGAATAGCAATCACTAGAGTACTCCCTCCGTCCCAAGTTAAGCTTCCTACTTTGACTTACGCAGAAATTTGTGGTTGAGATTTAGGGTTAAGGAGCAAAACATTGATAATATACCAAAATCGGAGTAGAAAAGAAAAAATACCCAAAATAGGAGTTATAATCCGATTCCATTCTGGCCCACTCATTTTGTTTGAGCATAAAGGTGTAGGAAGAGTTAACGAGGTTCATGTGTTCTGCACTAAATGACTCTAAGGCATGGTCTTTGGTTTTCCATTTAGTCATACATATTGATTCCTAATACTTTTCACTTCTATTCGATTTGCTGAGCTTATTCATTCATTTGTGCAGTAGCTAAAGGTTATAAACTAGTAATACATTGGCTAATGATGCTCAGTTCCTTGAGTAGCTATTTATGGTGCGTACATTGTGCAATTTTCTAGCATTAGTTTGGGATCAGGAATGAATTTTAAATAAGGGTTTAAAGGTTGTCTATCAATTCCCCAAAAATAGCATACCTAATCAAGGCCTTCTTCTATGTTTTGGTTAATACGGCAGTGCAGCCTATAGCAAATTTAAACTAGTTGCCTATTTGGAAGAAGTGGCCATTCAATTTTTTTCACACATTCGACAAGTGGATTACTTAAATTCTCACCCCCTGATTGCAATATGCAACATATAAAGTAAACTATAAAACAAAACAGGGGCAACAATGACATTATACATTGGCATGTTTGCCATTATGCATTGCCATGTATGGCATGATGCATTATTATGCTTTATGCATTCGCATTGTGACTCTATCATTAGGGTGGATACCATTAATCCATTGTGCAGTTTTGAGTGTCGCATTATGTGTTGTTATATTTTGCATAATGTAATTGTTTGACTCTATCAATATTTAATGGCAGTGGTGGCAGGGGCAGGGACACTGACGGCAGGGGAGCTGCTGGCAGGGACCGTAGCAGCAGGGGTGCCGCCGGTAGGGACAGTGGAGATAGGGGCGCTGCTGGAGGCAGCGACAGTGGCAGCAACAGCAACAGTGACAACAGGGGTACTGCCAGTGGGGAAAGTGGAGGCAGGGGCACCGTTAGCGGGGACAGGGAGGCATGGGCGCTACTGCTGGCAGGGGCGTCGCCGGAAGCAGCAGGGGCAATGGCAACAGTGACAGGGGAAGTGGCGGCGGAATAGGCAACAGTGGCACGGCAACAGCGGGAAAGTATCAGGGAAGGAGATTGACGAGGAAGGAAACTGTAGCCAATTGTGGCCATCTCAAGGAAAAGAAAGAGATCAACTGGAAGGAAACGAAAGTGTTGGCCAAAAATTGAAGAAGGAGATTTGGCGATGAAGTGCCCCTATTTTGGGTATATAAGATAGGCACTCCTATTTTGGGAATACGCCTAATGATTTAGTCCTATTTGGGAGGTTTTCTTTCAGATTTATGTAGGTGCGAGAAATAATATGAACTAATCGATACTCCGTACTTTAAATGGAATGAGAAGTTTATTTTGAAACAAACATGTAAGGAAGCATATTATTAATAAAACTGCAAGAATAGCATTGAAATCTTGCCTCAGAATGTTGAGACGACTTATTGGGAAGAAAAGAAAGGAAGGTTGCAATTTAAGCTCCATATTATTGGTTGAGACATTTTCATTGCTCGAAAAGTTACCAGCAACTCTTGTCAAAAGCTCAGCTCCATTCCACCTCAATTGTGATTCATCATATGATGAGTAGAACTCTTTCAAGCACTCCATTATAAAGGGGCTGAAAAAGATATAAAACACAATAAATGATAGAATGGATAAGAAGAAACTTATGTATATACTGTTCCTGCAGCGCATGTAGCACAGAATCCAGAAAATCAAAGAAGGCACTACACAGCAAGCATTGGGAAAAAGAAATTCCAACTGAAAGAAAGATGAATAGATGAATACAAGCTGATAGAATTTGAAATGATGAAAAACATGCATGTTTTGAGTACCTATGCTTTCTGAAGGCCATCACAGCACCATTCAAAGTTTTATCGCCACTCTCTTCGTCCATTCCAATAGTATTATTCAGTGAGGAAAGTTGATTCACCACTATGATGTCTGAGTCAATATAGACCCCACCATACCTGTAGGAGCAAAAGAAACATATGTTAAGGCCATGGAAATCTTATTTAGGTCTATTTTTAAAATCAAAGCTGATCTTCAGATGACATCATCTCAAGCAAAAAATGAACAGAATAGGATATTATCTTATACTGAATGCAACACTCAATTAAATCTGTGATCAGAACTGACTGGATTTGTTCACCTAATCTACAACAAATGAGCACATACTGCTTCTTGCTTTAGAAGAAAGTGTACACAGAGCAACCTCCTAAGTTTGTTGCTCGGGGATAAAATGGGGATATCAAGTTTTTTTGTTACTCAGTTGCGTGATGAGGCATAAGTCTCAATTTAGAACAACAACAGCAGTATAGAATCCCATGAGAGTAGGGTCTAGGGGGGTGTATATACGCAAACCTTACCCCTACTCGAAAATAGAGAGGTAGTTTACATGAGACTCCAGCTCAAGTAACACAGAGGGTAGCAAGCACACAACGACGAGTGTAGAAACCACCACCTCTAGATCTAAGGTCATATCCTCGTTAAGTGCCTGCAGTAATAGGTCTTGTCTAATCACCTTTTTCAAATTCTTCTAGGGTCTACCTTTCCCCATACCCGCCCACTGTCATAAGCCTCTCACATCTCCACACTAGAGCCTCAGCCACTTGATGTGCCCTAACCACCTTAGCTTAACTTCCTACAACTTATCCTCCACATATGTCACTACTCCCTATCTCCGGATAACCTTGTTTAAAATCCTATCCAATCTCGTGTGCCCCCACACATCCACCACAACATCCACATCTCTACAACATGAAGTTGATGAACGGGCAATTACTTACTCGCCCAACACTCCAAGCCGTACAACATAGCTAGTTTGACTACAAACCGGTAGAACTTCTCTTTCATCTTTGCCGAAATCTACTTGTTGCATGGAAACCCCAGAAGCCAACTTCCACTTAGCCCAAGAAAATTCTAACACGGTAAGAAATATCCCCGTCTATCTCCCCATCAGCCTAAATAGCCCAAATGACCGAACCGAGAAATCGAACCTTGTCTCTCTTAGGCATTGAGGGAGAATCAATCTTATCTTCCACATATAACTCCGTCACTGAAGCAACATTCCATGTATTCAGTATTAGTCCTACTCAGTCTAATACCTCTAGATTCCAGGGAAAACGCCATAACTCCAACTTGTCATTAAGTCCCTCACGTGTCTCGTCGATCACTACAATATTGTCAAAAACAAAAAACAAAAAATCATAAGGCATGCACCCAGGGACCTCCCCTTGGACCATAGTTTGAAAGGCAAGAGGCAGACCAGCAGCCCTTTTATAAGGGGAAAGGTGGCGGTCAAAAGGCAAATGCATGGCTGCATGGTTGCATGCATGCATGCATACACACTCCCACACACACACACACACATCAATAAATAACCTCAATCCAAAGCAAGTTATAACACTTACCATAAAAAATATATATAATATATGATATTAAAATAAAACTTCATCAATAGCTTAATATCATATAAAACGATAAAACTGATTTGAAAATATAAAACTGCTAGGGTTTCGATTAGTCATCAACTACTCGACTAGTCGACTCACTCTCAAAGACTAGACAACACGACAGGAGGAGCCAAACGACCAAATGGAAGGCGAGAAAGGCAAGCACCTGAGGCAGCAATTAAGGCATAAAAATCGAGGAAGGCGACCACCTAAGGCACGCCTTAGGGAGGCGCTGAGTTCTCACCTGGTTTCCTGAGGCGCCTTAGGCGCGAGAGGCAAACGCTTTTCACAACTATGCCTTGGACACGCTGCAACAGAACATCCATCACCAAAGCAAACAAGAATGAACTAAAGGCAAACCCCTGGTGTAACCCCACCTCTACAAGGAAAGGTTAAGAGTCACCCCATACAGTCTCGCCCTAGTCCTTTCCCTGATATACATATCTCTAACTGCACGAAAGTACACAATCAGAACTCCTCTAAACTCAAGGGATCTCCACAAGATCTTCCTCGACACCCTGTCATAAGCCTTCTCGAGGTCAATAAGCACCATATGGAGGCCCTTCTAAGCCCTATATTCTTCCATCAACCTCGCATGAGGTGAATGGCCTCCGTGCTAGACCGGCCAGACATGAAACCAAACGGATACTCAGAAATGCACACCCCCTTCCGCAGCCTGGCCTCTATGGTACGCTCCCAAACCTTCATGGTTTGCCTCAATTTAATTTAAGCAAAATAGTTAAATAATACAACGAAATGCAAAATTCATATTCTGAAATGCTGAAATAGAGTAGTACTCTTAACTACATTGGTAATTATTAGAAGTAATATAAACTTAAAATTAAATTTTGGAAAGTTCAAAAAAATCAAATAGTGTTATACAGCCACAAACTATGAGAAAAAGTAATCTTACCAAATACCAATAAGACAATAAGCAAATAAGTAATAGAGTAATATTATAATTCTCCCATACAAACAACTACAAACTTATATCCCAATTAAAAAGGAGGTTAAATAAAGAACGAGGGATGAGAGGGGGAGGATGGGGTGGGGGTTGCACTGATAAGAGGAACTAAGTGTTAAAAACAAGATGCAAAGAAAAAGACAATCAGACATGGGTGAGGACTCTAAACCATGACAAGTTTAGTTGTCGCTGAACTAGAATGATGTACAAGACAGAGTCAGAAAGGTAAGAGGGCAATGTCTTTTTTAATCAGCTCCGGGGTTTTGTCAATATATATATATACATATATATATATATATATACATACATACATACATATATATATATATAGGGTTGTAGTATTTATTATGTACAATATAGTAGTTAGGAAGGCCAAAAATAAAGCGAAGTAAATAACATAAATGTCCCGGCCCAATAACTTTTGAGAACTTTTGTAAAATCATGATAAAGTCTAAGCCTTAGTCTTAGGCCTCTTGTAAGCCTTTCGCCTCATCCACCGCCTTTAAGCCTCACCGCCTCGAGGCGGATAACCTCAAATGCCTTTGAAAAATCATGGTTGCTAGCACAAATCTTTTTATGGTTTAAAGCGAAGTCCTCGTATATTGTTTGGGAAGTTCAATAAGAGGACGTCAAGCCCATTGATCCTTGGGTCAAATCCCGGCCGCGGCAGTGTGGGAGTTCTATTATTTGTAATAACTCTTTGTGCGCACCTAGCACGGGGCGGCCTTTCTAAGGACCAGATTGAGATTATACCATGATTTATCCCCCTCATAATCCTGTCAGGCTGGGGTGTGGGGGGCCCCGAGGTGGACATTCCACCTTTTTTGGGAAGTTCAATGAGAGGTTTGGAATGGCCAAAGAGAAATCTACTTTCTTTTGTAAGCAATCTAACTTTGGGTGTTCTTGCAGGTAGTCTTTCTATGGGGATGACATTGTCATTTCAAAGTTACACTAATGTGTCCTATCCCTCAAGTTCCTTGAGAGCTAGTTTCACACAATGAATCCTGGTTACAAGGAATATATCTTTCTCAAAGGAAGTATGTCCTTGATGTATTATCTAGAAAGGAAAATTAGGAGCAAAACCTTCAAATAATCCAATGATTATCAACGTGAGTTTTAATTCTATTTAGTGCAAATATTTCTTTTTATATACGTACTCCGAATAGAAATTACTTATAATTAGCGTAGAAATGAAGGAATAATTAATTAATTACTCGTAAATTAAATGGGAAATAATGAGGAATGTATTGATTGATTGGGAGAGAAGAAGGGGTGGGGCCGCTGGCATAGAGGAGGAGGAGAGGGGTGGACCAAGTCGGCCTTTTCTCCCACTACTACTTCTCCGATACAGAGTCCACGTGAGAATGTCTGGTTTGACGGTGAACGGAAAATCAAGAACGGAGTGGTTGTTTGTTGCTTCAGGGATATGATACCCCATGCATCCTCCCCCCACCCCTTATCTTTCTTTCTACTTTCTTCCCGCATGGCTAGCTCAATTGCTCCAAGGAGAGGATGTCAACCTCATTGATTTAATAATAATAATAATAATAGTAATAGTAATAATAATAATAATAGTGCAGGGAAGTCCACTCCACAAGATTCATGGGGAAGCTCACCCAGATTCAATTCCCAGTGGAGGCAAAGGCATTGGCTCATTGTGCGTCATTAGGTTGAGAAAATATGAATAAATACTACATTGTAATATACTACATTGTAATAGAGTCAATAGCACTAACAAAAACTAAGTGACTCTCTAAACATGCCAGGCATGTATCATTGTTGTTAGGTTTGATGCTCTAAGCCTGTCCTAATAAAGGCTTATTTCATGACCTAGCTTAAAGCCTGTTAACAAAAGCAAACAATCATAATACGGTACCAAAACTCATCCAACAAATATTGTAAACCTGCAAAAGCCTTATACATGACATGATAGTCTGGATATTTCTATAAATGGTAAAGCCAGAAAAGTTTGGAATTTCTTTTAACGCTTCTTTATAGGTTTTACAAAGTACTCCCTACCTCTCTCTCTCTCTCTTTGTGTGTGTATGTGTGCATGTGTTAAAAATACATATAAACAGATCAGCTTGTCATACGAGACAACATCCACGATGGATCTTAGGCCTGACCTATTTAAGTATTAGGAAAACCCAAGATGGGCTTCTTTAATGAAGAGACCAGGCTGCAAGCCCATCTCACCCATTCCCACCGATAACTCCAATGAAAGAAATGGTCTATACTACTGACAAGCCACGAGATGCAGTCATGCAGAGAAAGCATATTTATTTTCTTCAGTTTAGGTGGAATATACTCAGCCTAGCTGGCCCACGATGTCTGGCCTACATTCTTCTTTTTCAAATTTGAGCTTTTATGCTATTTGATATTCAAGCCCCCTCCAAAATTAATTTGAGTGCATTTAAAATGAAATTAACTAGTTAGCGGACTAGGAAATGATGTATAGCTGCATATCAAGATCAAATTTATTACTGCAAGACATAAAGATTAGATTACTTGTAGAGAGCTGCAAGCCTGATGAGCTCACTGTAATGTCTTGAATAATATTTTGTCTTCTTCCACTCATGCCAGATTGAGGCAAATAAATGAGTTGGTGTATCTTCCAGCAGTTTATCAAGGTTGGGCATAACAACAGCTACTTTATACCTATGTAGCAATCAATGAAAATTTATTATACAGTCATCCACAGACTAAGTTGGCAACAAAAGAAAAACCGATTATCTAGTAACTAAAAGTAATATAGTGAGTGCATGGATAAATACAATCAAGAAATGAAAATTACAGATTTTGATATGTGATAGGTTCCAGGCTGGTTGGTTAAGTGATATTATATTTAAGTAATTAGCACTATTTAAATATTTGTTGAGTCTTTTTATTTTTCATATCTATCATTTAATAATTATTTAATTCCACTTAGTTAGGGGTCAGTTATTCCTACTTAGTTAGTGGGAGGTTTAGGGTAAGTTATTCCGACTTTGTTAGTAGGTGATTATGAGTAAGTTATTACTAGTAGAAGTTAGAGTCTCTTTGTATAAATAGACATTTAGTCATGTGCATTGATTATGGAAGATTACACAGTATTTTAACATTGGAGATTCTCCTTGGCTTTATTAGTTATATGAGTTCAGATTCTTACTCATATTTTGATAAAGATTTTCCTTCATCTTTATTATTTATGAAGTTAGATCCTGATTTCGTAATATGATAAAGACTATCCTTCATTTATTTTCCCCACCAATCTCGAGTGCTATCATTTGGTATCAGAGCTGTAAGATCTTTATGGGTTCCTTGTGCAAAAATTCAGTTTCTCCATTTTCGCCATACAGTTTCTCATCCAACAGTCATTCTCCTTGTGAAGCACACCAATTGCTTTACATTGTAGCTCGCCTTGATGTTATTAATTCCAAACAGGCAGCATCTGAAGTTCAAGGTACAGCTGTTAATTATGTGACACCCTACAAAAGAATCACGTCCAGTAAATTCCATCTAGCGGTGAAAGGAAAGAAAGTTCAAAAACAGAAGCGCAGGATTGCATTCGTTCCTAAGCCCAAACCCAATTCCTTAAAAAGCCAACCGCTTCAATTCCTCTAGTCCGACAAGTAATTTCCTACGTGAGGACAAGAGAATTTCAATTGCAACTCTAAGTTGGCCTCTGATTGTGAATGGTGTTGTCCTCATATTGCCCCACCATGAATCTGACTAGAGCATCTCTCTTGGAGAGCAATCGGCAATGGCAATTCAAGTCGAGGTTGTTCTTCCAATACAAAGAGCCTTCAAACAGGATATCTTCTCTCTTGGAGGAAAAAAAGTGTCAAAAAATGGCCGGATACATTCTTCTCCTCACTTAAGAATCTCATTAGAGCTAACAACAGATCCACAATACTCTATCACAGAAAGGACATAAGTACATCTGCCACAATGAATTCAACATTTTCTAATAATACCTTGTGCGCTAACATAGTAGCATCTACTTTTCAACGGTGCATGCCCCATTAAAAATACAGTTTGCTCAAAGCTGGTTCTTAGATTGTTTACCTGTCACCCCTACCAAAGCCCCCGGATATACAAGGAAGCATTGGAGTGATCAGGTTTCAGAGTTACAACTTGAGGACAAGTAGTGTTTCCAAGAGGGGAGTAATGATAGGTTCCAGGCTCGTTGGTAAAGTCATATTATATTTAATTAATTAGCACTATTTAATTATTTGTTGAGTCTTTTTATTTTTCATATTTATAATTTAATAATTATTGAATTCCACTTAGTGGGAAGTTAGGGATCAGTTATTCCTACTTAGTTAGCGGGAGGTTTAGGGTAAGTTATTCCCACTTTGTCAGTGGGTGGTTATGAGTAAGCTATTACTAGTAGAAGTTAGAGTCTCTTTGTATAAATAGACATCTAGTCATGTGTATCGATTATGGAAGATTACACAGTATATCAACATTGGAGATTCTCCTTGGCTTTATTAGTTATATGAGTTTAAGATTCTTACTCATATTTTGATAAAGATTTTCCTTCATCTTTATTATTTATGAAGTTAGATCCTGATTTTGTAATTCGGTAAAGACTATCCTTCATTTATTTTCCCCACCAATCTCGAGTTCTATCAATATATTTCCAGGTTAACAAATACTGGAATTATGAATAAAATAAAATGTAGTGAAAGTGGAAGACAGTTTGTATAACCAAGTGGATAGCAAAAGGGTAATTCGATACATAGAAGATAGTAAATGGATGTATAATTCTGGGACATACCCATCCTTCACAAAACCACTGAAGAAATTAAGCTCAAGTGTCTCTGAGAACACAACCACACAAGCATCTGGAAGATGGTAAAGAAGGCTCTCCAGTCCCCTCTGGTGACGAATACTAAACATCCATGGTGGTGAATTCCACACCATAAAAACCCTGCTATTGCATTTCCCCTTCCTGAAAAACAAATCCATAAAATTCATGAAAGAGAGCCTTGGATGTAATCCTGGAAAATAGCCCCATCTCTTCCCATCAGCATAAACTTGGTCATTTACCTCACTTCTCACAGAAGTACTTTCTTCCATAATTTTCACATTGCTTCCCCCATTCACATCAATCTCTCCATCCCTCTTATTTGATGAGCTGCCAGCATTACCATCCCCAAACCTTTCAATATGTAAGTGACTGTTATCTTTTAAACTCCTCCCCTCAGCTCTCAAGATTTCACTACTCCCTGCATTAATTTCAATATCCCTACCCTTACTCACGATATCTTCTTTCCTTCTAATTAATTCTGATTCAGAAAGCAAGGTATTCGTTCTCAAATCATTGTTTACGACGGCTTTCACTATGTTATGAGTACCCAGTACATCATTTTCTGCTGATCTAGATTTATCTGAATCGGAGACCACTAGAGGATTTTTAATCAAGAACGGAACGTTTTTAAACTCATTCATCAATCCTTTGAGCATCAGCCTATCCCCTCTAGTCAATCCAGTCACTCCGGATCCATCTGGATCCTGTAGCATCGGATTATTATTCGGGTTCAAGCTTTCCAAATTTGACCGAAACATGCGATCCCTCCTCAAGAAATCGCTTTTCTTATCAAACCAGTCTTCCCAACCTTCCCTCAAGGGCGAGCCCTTCAATAACAGTGCATCCTCAATGTTCCTTACTTCACTCAATTTCTTCCTCACCTTCTCATCGACTGGCAAATCATCCGAGGCAATGGCATCCTTAGATTCATCCCTCCCATACCCAAACCCTATCTTCAAGCTCGATTCAAAGTTTACATAATCTTCCCATTCCTCAATCGACCGCATGTTAAAGGCCCTCCTAACCACGCCAAGTTGATGGTCGTAAAAGTATGTTCGAGATGAGACTTTCGAATTCTGATTGATCTCATCCCCTTCTTCTTCATCGGCCTCGGGATTTTCTTCTTCTTTCACGGTGAGCTGAACTGCGTCATCAAGTTCGTCAATGCGGTCCTCGGAAGAGGAGGAACGGAAATCAGGATCAGCGAGGTCGTCTATGAGAGGGTTGTTGATTAAATCGGCGTCGTAGTGGCTGGCATATGAACGCGGGTGGTGTGAGTGGAAGAAATTGAGGCGAGTGTAGAGAAGGGAGACAGAGAGAAGGAGGAAAACTGCAGCGGCTAGAGCACAGAGTTGAGCTCCGTATCGCGGACGCCGCCGCGACCGCAGGTTGCGGAACATGTTTAGGCGGCGGCGGAGTTCCTAGGAATGTAAACTGTGTCGGAACTTTGAAGCTGGTGAATGAAAATGGAGCCTTGCCCAGATCAGGAAAACCTTTTCCCAATAGGCAGAATAGGAGTCCTCGGACTCTTTTTGAAACTCACAAATAAATTCGTTTTTTTTCCATAAAAAAACTAAAAAACAAGATAGGTACGTGTCGCAAATTATACTGTACATCCGGCTGTATGGGAAGAATCGTACAGCAGACAATTAATTAGGACGAATGGAGACCTGCTGCAAGAACGGCCGAATGGATCGGCCATGAAGGAGGCTGCGCGATGGGACTCGTTAGATTCCCGATCGCGATGAAGGAGGCTGCGCGATGAAGGTCCAATCGGCGATTACACGATGAAGATGGAGGTTGTTTGGAAGTCCGATCGGCAATTGAACGATGAAGGTTTGATCAGCGACAACTGCTTGGATATGCGAATGAAGGTCTGATCAACGATGAAAGAGGCTTCTAGTTGCTCGCGATGGTCTTCCACTTACCAGATTTCAACGACATATGATTATATGAATGGTACGTTAATTAAGATTGAGTACTAGGTTATATGGGAATGAGTACTACTATGTTTTAAAATGAATATTATGTTATTCGTAAATGAATATTGAACAAATTTGTGAAAATGAGTACCACGTTATTTCTGAATGAGTACTGCGTTATTTCAGAATGAGTACCACGTTTTTCAAATGAACCATTATGCTTGTTCGAGAATGAGTACTACTTTACTTCGGAATGAGTACTACATGGATGTATCTATCTCTAGGTACATCCGGACGTACCATATGCCTACTCGGTATGTGTGGGATGCATTATCACATACTCTTTCCCTCTAGTATTCATAAAATTAAATTTTACTCCCATCCTCTCCAATTTGATTACAATTTTTCTCTCTCTCCTCTCTATAACTTTTTTTGTTTACGTAATATCATTACGTATTTGATAAAATGAAATATTCTTGTCACATCTTGTTTTGTTAAACTTTTGATGTAGTTTTTTAATATGTAATTTTTATTTCTTATCAATATACCGAATTGTAAGTAAAATGATTTCAAAAAGTGGGATATTTCTCCTCGTAAACCCCAATTTCTAATCAAATTGGGGACGGAAGGAGTATTATTTTGTTGGCCTATTTTTGTATCCTATTTGATAAAATAATACAGTCATGTCACCTCTAATTTTGTAGATCTTTTCATGTAGTTTTAAAATATGTACTCCGTAATTTTTACTTTTTGAATTCCATACCATTTTTCATATAAAATGATTTAAAAATAAGTTCAGTCAAACATCGTAACGCGCAACAAGAACTTTATTTATGGATGAGGGAATATTTTTTTAAATTAATAATTATAGGAGAATATATGAATAGATACCACACTTTTATATGAGATGTATGTGCTTGATCCCAGTGCGGATAGTAACACTACGAGCTTCAATAGGTTGAGAATGTACGAATAGATATTATTAGTGGGTTGTTGGGCCAATTGAGAGGCCCGTCTGAAGGTGTTGTGGTAGCCCAAGATTCCAGCTGGATTGTAGAGAATTGGGCCACTGAATAAGTGAATAAGTACTTGGTTGGGATTAAGTCGGGTCTACGACTGTGGTCCACAAAAGCCGTGCGACCGAAGAAGTTGGAGTCGCGGGTAGGGTACGGGAGACAGCGATTCCTACGAATCTGGCTAAGAATCATGCGTGATCTGGTTACCTTATTTATCACATACCTTATATATATTATGTACTGACTATAAATAGAGGGGGATTCCGTCGGAACCCTCAAGCTAACCCTAGCGATTCAATACCATAAGTTTCGTATTCTCAAGCTCTAGATATTCATTCTCAAATATTCGATCCGGCCCCAGAGTCGGGCCATCTGGTGGAATTCCTGCCCATCAAATTGGTGTTTTCATGAGCGTCTTGAGAAACTTTGCTCGAGAGAACCTCTCGTTCATACGGATCAATGGTGCAAACACGCAGTAATGCTAATCAACCCCCTAGTAACCCACACCAAGAGGAGGGTAGCACCACAGGAGGCCGCTAGATACCAATTAGTAAAACAGGAGCCGAACTCTTCATTCACCAGATCGACATCACCTCTGAACAATTTAAGGAGACGTGGATGCCCTCACTCCCCATAGGGAAATAGTACTTGATGCCTTAACTGGGGCGCATGCTGCGGGGGACCCGAGACCGGAAGGATCAGTTGGAAAGAAGTAAAAGAAAACTAGGCGATCCCAGAAGAAAAAGGCATTGAAACCTAACGGAAAGGCAATCATGGAGGATGATCTATCACAGGAGGACGAGGAAGATGAATCCTCATCGTATGAGCATCTCTATGCCTTTGAACGATTAGGAGACCCCAAGTTGAAGAAGCGCCGAGTCTCTTCGTTTGACCAGTTGGAGGATAGACGGTTATCCCGAAAGATGGACCTTAGGCTGAATATCAACGAGCGGCGAGAGGAATCCCCAGCGATATCCCAGGCCCGATCACAAGAGAAGAAGAAGACGGCCTCTGAAAATGAGGTGGACGACCTACCGGAAATGGTGAGGGAACTGAAGAAAAGGGTGGACGCTAAAAATCCCTACTGCTCGGAGATTCTGGATGAAGTAACCCCTTTCTCACAAAGAGTAATATCATGCCCCCTCCCCGAAAATTTCAAAGCTCCGTAGGTGAAGGCATACAACGGGATGACCGAATCCCAGGATCACCTGTCTTGATTACCCACTTGTCTTGATTCTCGAAAAATGTGGTCATGTTAGCCTACCCAGAAGAGATAATATGTCATTGTTTTTTGGCGACCCTCGAAGGCCAGGCCTCTAAGTGGTTTTATAAGTTACTAGAAGGATCTATTGACCGATTAAAGGACCTGGCGAATAAATTCCTTGAACATTTCGCGGCGAGTCATGGTCAGAAACGTAACTGCCTTATTCCCATTTGCTGAACGTTAAGATTCAGAAAGGGGAGAGGCTCCAAACTTTTATATCTCGCTGGGAGAAGGAGGCAAGGGATGTCCAGGGGGCGGACGACCAAGCCCTCATTGCAATGCTCCAGGTGGCACTCGCCCAAGGGAATGTGTGCAAGGTGTTGCAGAGGAATCTGCTCCCGACCTACCAGTAGATGCTGGCAAGGGATAAATATCTAGCGTTGGAGAAAGACGATGAAGAAATGCAGGGAGAACCACACAAGAGCAAGAAGGTTGCTCCAGAAACCAGGGAAGCTAGGGAGAAGAAGAGAAAGGATTGTGCAAAGGTCTCGTATCCAACTGGGTATCAGGCATCCAGGCCGCCAATTCACGTTGTTCAAAAGCTCCCTCATCCTCTCACTTTTGTGAAAGCTACGACGTCCAAACTGCGCCTAAATACTGTGAATATCATCGTAATAGCTAGCACCCACAATATTGCGAATTGCAATACGCTGAAGAAGGAGATGAACCAGCCGATTGCCCGTGGGCTGGCACCAAAAGGAGACCGACCGGCCCTAAGAGCTCCAACATGAAAAAGGTTGACCGTTGTAGCGGCGGCAATCACAAATGAGGATGACCATGATGAAAGAAGGAGGCATCTAGGGAGAGAATGTGACAACCTTGATGAAGATGAGAGACAGAACTGATGACATTTGAGATATCATTTCATCATGGACGGAAACACGGGAAGAGATTCCGCATCCACCAGAAAGAAATGGAAGAATATGGTGCACATTACCCCTTGAATGTTAGAGTTCAATACCTCAAGCATGATCTCTCTTAGTAAGAATGCACTTGCACCCAACATGTCATTACATTCTCTGTCCCAAAGTACAAATGAAGCATGACCAGACGCATCATACACACGGACATTGACCTTGTACCTATCGTATATACAAACTTTATAAGTAAAGTACTACCCCATTAATCTACTGCATAGAATTCTTTTCAAAGAATTTCTTGACTTACTTGTAACCACTGTGGGGTATGAAAAATTGACAACCGGAACAACTGAATTTGTCTCCATCTGGTATGACCATTTTATTGGATTCAGTGCATCCTAAATAACACCAATCCGGGGTATTCTCCAAAGAAGCAATCTCACAAACGATCCAATATGGGCCAGGCTGCATTTGTACATATAATTTTAATTAAAACACAAAGTTTTTCACTTCTTTATTTCTTATTACCAAAATAAGTGAAATTAACCTTTGTTGTATCCAAGAGAGTATGAATGCTTGTTATTTTGACAACACTTTCATCGGCCTCCCCTCCTGGTATGAGACTGCTAATCATATGGTAATTTATACAAATATCCATTGAACCGCATGTCAGTTAAGAAAGAGGGAAGTTTACTTGAGATATCCTACAATTTATTATTAGTAAATGCATATTACCATGCTCTGAATTGGTTGACCTCATCTGAGTTCCCCTAAAAAATCATCTTGGTTGCATGAAATGTAGTGGACATGGTGTAGCGGACACGGTGACAGAGCCACAATGAAAAAGCGATTCCAAAATCTAATTCACTGCTTACATATTTCTTTATTTAAATTGAACGTTAAGTTTTTACCCATGTAACGTCTGGGACGGCAGAAGCTCAAGAGTATTATAAGTGGCTCAGTTACATTTTGTGTCAAGCATTCCATAAACCGATCAACATATTCACCCTACAAAGTACATCCCATACAGTTGCCAATGAAAAATTGGTAATGAGATGATATTTTGTTTTTCAAAAATTTAAGATATTATATATAATATCGCTTCATACTCATCATCTTCTAGAGNCCCCCCCCCCCCCCCCCACTTTAGGTGTGTTTGAACCCTTGAACGTGCAACAATCTTTCCTATAACATCTGCATTATTCCATCCTTTATAAGAAACACAATAAAAAATGTTGTTTGATTTTCTGCATTTGGATTGTTCATTTTTAAGATATTGTACCAATCAAAAGTTGATCGTTCAAGCACGGCTGTGCTTGAATGCTGTCAAAGGATTTTAAATCAAACATCATCTTTGGAAAATCGTCTTCTCTTAGCATTTTGACTTGGGTTTTATTGTAAAAAACCAAGAGTTTGGAATGTGTGGTTGTTTTCAATGGTAAGTAGTTATCATGAACAAACACATTTTGAATTCCATAAACACCGCCTTCAACGATTTGAGATTCAAAACATTTTTTTCCGGCTTCTTCAGATTAGCGCGAATCCTGTTCCCCTGTGCACACAATACCGATTACAAATTAAAAAAATTAGCACGGATTATGGAATGGAAATGAATGAAACTAATAAAAAAGAAGTGTTCTTAAGACTTACATTTTCATCATGAAAAATGACTTTCATGGAATCTCCATCTTTGGCCCACACGGGGACAAAGTATACACGGACAGGTGAAGCATCCAAGCTGTTTTCTGATTGTCTATTTCATTCAGATCATCCCACATTGTCATTTTTTTGTTTGAGCCATTTTCATGAAAGACAAAAATCCAATGAAGAGGCTGTTTGGTGCAAGTGTTTTATGTTAGAATTAAATGGCTTTAAATACTATATGTTTGGAATGTGGAATCTCTCCACATTAAATGCCAAGATTTGTAAAATCTTATTTTTTTCATTGTAAAATATATAAAGTGGCCTTGAGCCACTAAACTCTCCATTCTTGAGAAGACAAATAAAGATGCATTGTAATTGTCCCTCATTGTGCACTTCTCAACGTAATGTAATGATGACTCTTCATGTACCTATGTTTGGCCCGATACGCCAGGCCCAAATTGGCAGCCCATTCCATTGATACATGCCATTTAGGCAGGAACACTGTTCACCTAAAATCTATCCTAGCATTGAGTAGATAAAGATAAAGATTCTAGGATTTTTCTTCTTCTATTAGTCATAAGTAGGCTTCTTAATGGGTCAGATATAGAGCTGAATCCGTATAATAGCCATAATTTTTAACAGAGTATAAAAAACCGTGTACCCAAACCCAAATTTGTACCCGTTATTTTAAAAAAATAAAGGGTCGAGTATAGAATGAGTAGTTTCGACTCATTTAAAACCCGTACTGGTTAAATAAATAGATAATATAAAAAATTACAAAATCATATCCCTCTTCTTTGCTACTCCCATTCTTCACTGGTTGCGTGGCTTTTAAATCTATTTGTATTTATTTCACCACATTAGAGGTATGTACACGTTAGTTTATGCAATAGTATAAAATAAATAGTTTGAAATTAGCTGTAATGCTATAAATTCAAGAACATTCTTGCAACATAAATGAATGTGACAAGAATGATGATTATGAATATATTGTTTTTGTAGATTTTTTGTAAAGAAGGCTGCTTTTTGTTTCGATACCGTATTAGTCTTATTTTTATTTGTATTCAATTAAAATGTTTTTTCATTCTTAGTATTTTCACTAATTTTTTTCAATTATAGAAAAATAAAAGACCTCAGCTTTTATCACGGATATACCCGACCCGATACTGTGATTCGATGGGTTCAAATCTAGGATTAAACTTTAAGACCATCGGATAAATGGGTACGGGTCAAGATCAATTTTTTTAAAAGGGTACGAGTATAGAACATTATGGACCGGCCCGAATCCGACCCTTTCTTTTTATTTGTTTTTAGTATGAATCCCAAGTCTTTTAAGAACATGGAATTGAATTAAAATGTTTCAGTGTGAACTTTTTTCCTAATTGTGCTACATAGATTATTCATATTAAATAATTGGCCTATTTTTTCTCCTTTGTCTGTTTTTTTGTAGGTTACAACTTAATTTCATCTCTTTAAGGTTACACAACAACTTATCTATGGAGTTAAAGGATGACACATTATCTATGTTCCAGAAGGTAATCTCACTCTTATTTTGCAAATAAATCTATGTGTGTGGTCAGAATTCACACTCTCATAAGAAACACTTGTATGAAGAAATAGCCAGATACCACTACATTCAGGTAACACACATTATGCAAAGTATGAACTCTTCATTCCTAAATATTTATAATTACTAAAACAACAATCTATTTGAATCCCGCAAGAGTAGAGTCTGGGGAAGGTGTCCCTTACCCCTACTCGAAAGGAGAGATGTTTCCTATGAGACACCCAGCTCAGCTGAGAAAGTTGCATTGATTGCCTAACTGCTACTTCATTAATTAAAGAAGCGCAGACAATTTAGAGATTCATTTTGCTTTATTCCATCACACCCCAAAGATAAAAAAATAGTGAATTTGTGGTTCCATTGGAGATGATGAAAAATAAATATTTATAGTTGTGCATGAATTTTTTTACTGATGTTTTCATTGCTTTTTCTCATATTATTTTTATATTCATAACACAAAAGTTAATGGTTTCACACGAATCTAAACAAATACTCTATAAATATGTAGAAGGGGAATTAGCTCCATTGGTTGTTGATAATGTGTAGAAGGTTTCCATTACCAAGAAAAGAATTGAACTGGCTAACATGCTTTCTCTCACACACATCAAATAGTGTCATGAATTTATTTATAAAAGGGGAATTAGCTCCATTGCTTGTTAATAGTTGTTCAAAGAAATTAGACTCTGTCTGGATGGACTACTTCTAGCACATATCTGGAAAGAATTATTGTTATTTTTAAATGTAATTGGTTAATATCCCCCGTCCCTAAATGTTTACTACATTTCAATAAACGAGACAGAATATTAAGTTTTTTCAGTTCATTTTATTTAAATGCTGGTATAGAAATAAAATATAAAGATTACATATTTAAAACTACGTGAAACGTTATTCGAAATAAGAGATGTCAAAAATATTTTATTTTATCAAATAACCAATGAAAACGTACAAATAAACAAAAGTTCTCGTGACTGTTGAAAAAGCAAATGTTACAATCATTTTGGGAAGAAGGAAGTAATAAAAAAATTGTAAACAAAGTACTTTACTATTGGAGAATCACTTTATCATGTAGTCTATGATTTCTTTGTTATAGCCATTGAGGGTTTCTCCCAGCAATTGAAATGATAGTTTCTGTTAATGATTTAGGTTGCGTTCTGTTCGCCTGATTTGATCTAAACTCATCTTATTTGTTTGAAAATCTGATCTAGTCTGATCTAACCTGGTCTAACTGATCTGATTTGATCTGATCGCAATTATAATTAAAACTGTTTCTGATCTGAACTGGTCTGGTCTGACTATAGTAAGAATAAATAATAAGCAGAAAAAATAAGTTGAACAGAACGTTGCCTTAATCATGTTTTTTAAACTCTTACCTCTAAATGATGATCCCTTGCAAAAGCATAAGATGATAAAATTACAGGCGGTGCTGTTTTTTCCTTCTCGAGGAAGTTGATCAAAAACTCCACATGTTTACCACATTGCATAGTTTGTTACAATGAACACACTATGAAGGGGAAGGGGAGTACCGGCGAGAGTTAGATGTATGGGCCATAACACTTGTTTCATGGATTTTTTTTATAATAAATAATAAATTATTTTTATTCTTTTGTTAATTTTTTTTAAAAAAATCTTTTTTACTATTTACAAAATAACTTTCTATTAAAGTTTTTAAGTTCCTTTTGGTGGGTTATTTTCACTTATGAGTTCTTTTTAATCAATTAGGGTATTCGGCTAGGTTCAATGGTCACTAAATTTGATTGGCCACGGAAGTCACTGCCACTCTTCGATGCTCCATTCGTAGAATTAATGATTCCTACCTCCCTAACCTCTCTGGAAACTCCCCGTCCAGTCCCGACCCTAACT